GAAAAACCAACCTAAGGTTGTCCTGCATCTCCTATGTCTTCTACACCTGACCAGGTGTGAAGAGTCGAAGTTCCTCCATCCTTCTCTGCCATCCTCCCTGGCCTCTCTTCCTGGATCTGGAGGAACATGCTGCAGGTGGTTGTACAAAGCATGAGCTCTGGCCCTCACTCTGCAGCTGCTGTGTGCCCAGGTGGGTGCTGCTCCTTTGCTGACCTGGATTTCTTCACAGACCCCTTTCCACCTTGCTCAGGGCTGTGGCCTACAACCGTCAGCATGCGGGCACCCGGATCACCATCAATAACAAGGGTTGCTATTGCTGCTCAAATGCTGGCCTTGTTTTACTTATAAGCTTATGCCACTTGTAACAATTTGCTGCTATTTTTGGCAGATATGTTCCAAGACCCCCCAATGGGTATAATCTGCAGATAGTACAACATCTTAAAAAAAATGATGTTTTCGCTTAAACGTCCACACAGCAGGTACCCAGGGTACCCCAGGGAGGCAATGTTAACCCGTTGGATGCCCACAGGGTGTCGTGTGGCTGTTCATCCAACTGTTTTCCATGCTCTCGCCCAACAGCAGTGGAGGAGGTTGACTCTGGGACAGAGTAGGCTGGTGTGACATTTCATTACACTGCTCAGAACGATGCGCAATTTAAATCTTTTCAGACTGCAGTTGACTAGGGGTAACTGAAACTGCAGACAAGTACAGTTACTTCACATCTCGCAGCCTCAGCTTAGCAACTGCAGAGTGGGGCTGAAACAAGTATTCCACAGGGTGATACTGAGAATGAAATGAGGCCACAAGTCTCTGGGCCAAGAATCACCTTAGATGCAAAAGGCTAGTCCCTCTTTGTTTAAAACCCAAGGCTCTGCTCCCTAGGGCAGCTTCCTAGGACAAACATGGCTTCCTAGGAGTGTCCAGGGCCCTGAGCTTCCATCCTCAGCATGTGTCGTACTGAACAAGGTCCTGTCTGCTCCCCTGGTAATTATAGGCAACAAAAGAAGTGGTGTGAGGCAGGGGTTTGCTTTTTCTCCATTTGTCCCTATTAGCATCTGCCAGAGTGGGGAACAGGATCTCATAGAAGGGTCAACACATAAACAATGCCAAGGAACATGATATCGACAAATAATAGGCGCATGTGAGATGGTCATTTCATTGTTATTGTCAAGTGCTTATTGAATGACTGTTCTCCCTAAGGACTAGGGTTTGAAGGCAGTGGGTCAGCACAGCAGTCCACAGGTTAAAGAAGCACGAAGCCATGTTTCAGTGTGTGACATACACGACTCAACGGAATGTGCCTACTGCTTCCTTGAGGATACTCCATGTCCGCTGGTTTGTAAAATGTCTTTTTTTTTACTGAGTTAAGTTAGCTTTGCATTTGAGTCTGCTTTATGAATGGGGGAATGAGGAAAGATGTGATCAGATGGGTGTTTACCCACCATGACTGGAACTTGAAGCCTCCAGAGGTGCATTTAGAAAACATCTTTAGGTGGCTTGGAGGATGGATCTGAGGAGGAGCTAGAGGCTGGAAGGGCCAGGGAGAAGGGGAAGACTGGGGTGAAGGATAAATGAGACTTACCTTAGCAATACAGTGTGGTGGGGAGCAAGGCCTTGAAAGCAAGACTGGGGGCCACACCACACCTCAGGTGGGAGTAGGGCTGGTAGCTGCAAGGACTGAAGGGGATACATGTGCACTGACAAGTCCTTACAACACCCAGGCCAGAAATCAGGCCCTAGAGGGCAGCCCTGCTGTCTGATGAGCCCAGGGCTCCTTCTTGGGTGTATGCCCACCCAGGAGTCACAGAGTGTGTTTGCACCTCTCATATTACAGGGTTTCCAGCCACTCTTAAATGAACATGGAAGCTGCACAGTGCTGGCTCAAAGCTCTATGGGAGGAGGAAACAGGCCCTACATATCACAGAGCAAGGGAAGGCAGAGCTAGAGTCAAGGTTAGGCCATCATTGCCTTTGTAAAACTGTTCATCCTAATAAACCCCAAACGTGGCATTTCCACATTTACAGGTGCCTA